GTCCTAGCAGCTCAGAAGTAATTCATGGAGACATAAAGCCTGACAGGTGGTGGCATGGAGAACAAGGCTCTGCATAGGGCCCGCCACTGGGAGGAAAGCAGTAAAAAGATACAGTCCTTGCTATTTGGCATATTAGGCCATAAAAGTATGGACCATTTCCATATACCAGCCGCTGTTCCAAGGAAACCCTCCCAACAGCCTAGATGAGGAAACAGGCACCAGAATGTCAGTAGCTTGTTAACAACCTCACAGGTTTCTTTGGGCTTTTATCATGATCCCCCACCCCAAGGCCCAGAAACAAAGCAACATCCACTAGCCAACTGCTTCTTTTCAAACCTGAGCTGAAGGCTGTGCTGTCTGATGGTTGTGGCTGTGAGGAAGTATGGACCTCCTCTGTGCTCTTGTCCTCTCCAGTCCCGAGCTCAGCACCATCAGTATGTTTTCTATATGCTTGCTCTTGAGGTCTGACCACATGTGCCCACAGATCAGGAGGTGGGTCAATGGATGCTTTGCCTTTTAATACTCCCTTTGTCTTATGATGCAACTCCTGCTTCTTGGGTGCTCAAGTCATCCGGTTGCTTTGTCTTTCTGTTTCCTTGTCTACCTTCGAAATGCTGATCCTCAGGCTGAGAAAAGCATGCAAATGTCATCTTCTCCTTCTCCTTGTCTTCTCTTTCTCCTAATCATCCTCTCCCTCCTTCTCCTTCTCCTTGTTTCCTCTCTGTATGTTGATTTTTTGGGTACAAGAATTCACTCTCTAATGCCTAAGACAGATTTAATTCCTAACAGCATATGCTTGCTGACTGACTAGAGTGTCATAATAGTGGTGACCGTTCTTTGTTAGTAGTCAACAGGTAAGTTCTGTCCTTGTGAGTGACAGGTATTAGATCATTTAATTCTCACTGTTCGGAAAGCTTATCAGACTTTTGTCATTCCCTTAAAAAGATTTCTTTTTTAAATGTGTATATGTGAGTGCTTGAATGTATGTATGTTCTCTATGTACATGCCTGGTGCCCAGAGGCCTGAGTAGACATTGGATCCTTTGGACCTAGAGTTCCAGGTAGGTGGCCTGATGTAGATGGTGGGAACCAACTTCTTGTCCTCTGTGAGTGCTCTGAACCACGGAGCATCATCTCCAGCTCCTGTCATCCCCTTTTTATATTTAAGGAGCTGTGTGAAAGGGAGGGAGGTAGCTTAGAGTGGTGACTCACAGTGCTACTGAGTAGCAAAGTAGGGATTTGATCTTTAGAACCTATACATGCTTGATTTCCGTTTTAGCTGGGTTTTATGTCTCTGAGAGCCAATTAGACAATTGGGCTTCAGAGTAAGATCAAGAAGGGTAAAAAGACAGAATCAGATATAAAGGCCCTAGCCTTGGTTTAACAGATACTAGGTTCCATACCAAGCAGACTGAGAGAACAGAAATCCCTAAACCTTAAAGAACAGCCTGGGAATATTGAACATTTGCGCTACTCACAACAGATCCCTGAAGGAACCACGGTGGTGTGCGTGTAAGAGCCCAGCCGATGATTGTGTGCCTCTCTCCTTCTACCCCATTTGAAGCAAGAGACCAATCATATACTGTAGCAAGGAGGTTGCTTGCTTGTTCCCGGCCTCTTAGCCCCGAAATAATCACACAGAAACTGTGCTAATTAAATCACTGCTTGGCCCATTAGCTCTAGATTCTTGTTGGATAACTCTTACATATTAATTTAACCCATTTTATTAATATGTGTATTGACATACGGCTGTGGCTTATTGGTTAAAGTTCCGGCATCTGTCTCTAGCAGGGCTACAAGGCGTCTCTTTGATTTCGCCTCCTTTCTCCAAGAATTCAGTTTAGTTTTCCCTGCCTAGCTCTGTTCCCCTATAGCTCTGCTATAGGCCCCAAACAGTTCCTTTATAGACAATGATATTTATAGCATACAGAGGGGAATCCCACATCACCTCCCCTTTTGTTTAAATAAAAAGGAACGTTTTAACTTTAACATAGTAAAATTACATATAACAAAACAGGTATCAAGCAAGAATTACAGTTACAATATTATATCTATTTTATCTTTTATCATAACTAAGGAAAACTATACTTGTAACTACATCTTCTTCAACTCCATCAAAGACTCCAGAAGGGGTGCCTGAACTGGCCTTGTCCCACAGCCACACTGATGAATATCTTGCATATCTTTTGTACCATTGGGGCATCCATCTTCAGCCTAAAGACCCATAGTATCCAGCAGACTTTCCCATGAAGTAGGAAATTTCAAAGACAGTTCTGCCTATATTGGCAGTTTGTCAGTCACTTTTTTCTGTGTCCTGTAGAATGTCTCACAGACTCTTTCATGAAGCAGGAACCCCAAAGGATCATCTTATCTTTAGGCAAGTTTAACAGTCATTTCTTTGCGGATCCTGCAAGTCCAGTTAAGCAGTTCAGGCAAGAGCAGTTTCTTGCCCAAATGTCTAACCAACTCCATAAGGAGCCTCTTTGATGCCCATCATCCTCTTGAAGTAGATTGATGCTGCCAGGAACAGATGTGTCTCATTGTCATGAAAAGCCCTATGTTCTTAAAACATTTTAAATGCCATATTTTGTAGTCTTTGAAAGGTTTGAAGAATACCTATCTATTTGAAATACATCTCAGTACATCTAGAAAATTTAACTAACATGACTACAAGCTTGACTATTATAAATGATTATCTTTTAATTGTATTTCTAATTACACATTACATTTTTAAATGAGCTGCACAAACACAATACCTTAATCAAGAGCAGAAATATGTATGTACACAGTATAACAAAGTTGACCTTAAATTTGTAAACCAAGATCCACACCAATGCAAATCTCTATAGCATATCCCCTTTAAATGTAAACAAACATTTATAAACAATCATTTAGGGAATTTTAATGTAGTTCTCTAGACTACTTTCTGCTGATTGAGGGTGCTGTTAATCAGGTCTTTTATGGTGTATCCTGTGTGGTAGGTTCATCTCAGTCAGCAGTTTGGTGAAGTAACTTTTTCGGGGGTATTTATGGCAACCTTTCAGGGGCTCTTGGTCCATCAAACCATATTCGTCTGGAAGCAATCCACAGGTTCTCATTCTCCATGGTAACAAAAGAAGAACCTCTTTTTCAAAGCAACATATCCTTAGACCCAAATTCTGAAGTCAAGTTATCTTTGTAGTACACGTGCTGGTTTAGCTTAGTGGCCCATATAATGAAATGTCTCTCTGTACTTAGTTCCTTCACAGTAAAAATAATTCAACGAAAATACAGTAATATTCATAATCCAGACTCTCTGTGAATTTTTTATCTTTACATGGTTTATCTTTTGTTTACTCCCTTTAAGCTATGACTGTTTGTACTCTGTCTCTTTAAGACTTCACCATTTTTTTAAAACCATTTACTTTTTTTATATAACTTTCTATACTCATTTTCTACATTTATCCAACACTGTGACTCATTTAAAGGTTCTATATAGCTAAATCTGTCCTTATTTCATTATCTGTAATTCTTTACTGTCTTGAAGAGCTTTTAAAATGCTAAGCAGCTGGGTTGCAGCTGCTCTGGATGTTGGCTCCACCTCTCTCCAATTTCAAAATGGTGGCAGTACCATTACTGCCAGCTCTGGGGCCACCAGGTAGGAGCTGTGCTCAGCACTTTAGCTCTGAGAATGAGTGTGCAGCATATAAACCCTTTTTATCTAAGTAATAGCTAAATATGCTATATTATAATCAACCTATTTTATTCTCATAGCAATACTCAGAAGTTGGAACCATTGTTATTGGTGGAAAAAAATCAAGAGGTGTAGTGTTCAAAGACTCACAAAAATATAGACTTCGTATTTGACTCTTTAAAAAAAAAGGATTTTTAAAATTAAATTTGTTTAAAATTTCATACATGCATACAATATATCTTTTTATTTTGTGGCTTTTTAAGGTAGCCTTTCTCTGTATCTTTGGAGCCTGTGCTGGAATTCACTCTGTAGACCAGGCTGGCCTTGAACTCACTGAGATCCACCTGTCTCTGCCTCCTGAGTGCTGGGATTACAGGCATGCACAACTACCATTGCTTGGCTTAATGTATCTTGAGCATATTCACGCCCTCCCCTAACTTGTCCCAGATTCACCTTTAGTCACTCTCAAATTCCTGACTAACTTCCTCCCTGCTTAAAATTTGTTTTTTTATTAAATTACAATTTGTGTTGCCCATGTACTTCTGACTTTGGGGTCATCCATTGTAGATGGCTATCCTACCAGCGGCACATTTATGGTAAACAGCCCCCTCCCCCATAGCCACCAACTGTCAATAGCTCCTCATCTAGGAGTTGGGGCTTGGGAGCTCCCCACTTCCATTCTAGAACACTGACTGGCTTGGTCTTATGTGGGTCTTGTACAGTAACCGGAGCTGCTGTGAATTCATGAGTGCAGAGAGCCTGTCACGTCCATAGGATATTGATTGCTCCTGACCTCTGGCTCTAGCCATCTTTCTGTTCTCCCTTCTGTGATGGTCTCTGAGCCTTCCAGAGTGGAGGTGTGATGTATCCCAGTTTGGTTGAGCACTCCATAGACGTTCCATCTCTGCACTTTGGCCAGTTGTGAGTTTCTGTATTAACCACTGTCCACAGCAGTAAGAAACTTCTCTGATGAGGTCTGAGAGCAGCGCTAATCTGGGTGTTGAGATATGAACTTAAAAAACAGTTTGATATCATGTCCATCTAGCAAATAATAATTGCAGTGAACTCTTCTTTCTGACGTAGAGGTTAAGCTGAGGACTGTGCCCTGTAAAAGTGAGGATAGTTTACAGAGGGCTGACAATTTAGGGCAGACAGAAGTCAACTAACTTGCTCCAGACAGGCCTGGATGCAGAGCGCGTGCGCAAACTGTCCGTCAGGCTCCGCCCCGTCCCGCCCCCCGGGAGGCGCTCGCTCCTGGCTCTGGGGCTTGCGCACTGCGTCCCCAGCCAGAGGCGCTTTCCCGAGCGGGGACTTCCGGTACGCCGGGTGCGGTTCCGGGTCGTGTCGCGGCTCGGGGTAACAGGGCTGCTGTTGCCGGCCGGCGGCGGCGGGGCGCGGCGGGGTCATGAGGGCGAGTCTGGGGCGAGACAGCAGAGCCGGCCGGTAGAAGCGCCGGTCCTTGAAGTGCAGGGTCCGAGAGGCGTGGGGAAGCCGGGGCCTCCCTCAGGGACGTGTCCTGGGCGAGGCGGCCCGTAGTGTGGAAGCAGCTTCAGGTAAAGGTTGCCCCAGCCGCCGCCCCCTGGCCCGCGGCACCCTGTTGCCCTCAGCACCCTGCTGCCTGCGCTGCCCAGCAGCCGCCCGTCGGGGCCGTGCTCGGTGGCCTGGGAGCATCCGTTTCCTGGCCCTTCCCGAGCCTGACAGCTGGGTGTGTGACTTAGGTGAGGAGAGGCTGTGGACCTGGTGGTGTGGGGGCGGGAGCGGGGGGGGGGCAGGCACCGGCGGCTTCAGGCCCAGAACTCGTCAAGGTTCGGTGCCCCAGCTCCATTCTGTGAAATCAGGTCTTCAAAGCATTGCCTGGGCAGTCCTGACACAGTCCTGCAGATTGTTTTCCTATCTGGAGTGCTGCTGGGAACTTGGATTCCGGTTTTTCTGTTTATGGGAGTGGCAGGAGTTGTATAGCTGGGGAGTGGGTGGGAAGAAGAAAAGACCACGGTTTAAAGAAGTGTGTATCTCGGACCATGCTTGTTATAAACCTCCAAACAGCCAAGTCCAAAACCCTTCTCCGGTGTGAATAGTGACGTGGACACACACATCAGTTAAAACGTCGGCATTCACTTGACGAACAGAAAGGATGGGTCCCTCCTGTGAACACCTATCAGAACACCTATAAAGTGCGTTAGTCATGTGTTTTGGGGCCCCACTAGCTGCAATGAAAGTGCTTGCTCAGTGATAAAATTGCCCCCATCTTTTTCAGCTTCCACGTCTGCAAACTCACTGGAGCCTGAGGTTGGCCGGGCATACCCGGTGCCTCTTTCCTATTCAGCTGGGTGCCCACATCTGCCGTCAGCTACTAAATGTGCAGAGTGCCTGCATAGCATCTATGCGCCTGTGGCTCCTGGCTAGTTTTTACAGTTAAGTTTATTAAAGCCCCCATTATAGGCCTTCCCTCTGGATAAGTAAGATCTCAAATCACTTTTGATTTGTTCTCAAGTACTGAAAAAAGAAAGTTTACCCTGCCACATCTAGAAGCTTCCCGGGTTTTGGTTTCTAACACATTATTTATGCTTCCCATGGTCCAACTGTAGGTGGTCTCACTTAACCAATTACGGACAATCCAGCATCTAATGATTTCTTTCTTTACTTTTTTTCTTAAGAATTATCTTTTAAATATATGTGTCCATGTGGGGTTTGTGTGAGGGCAGTTGCCTGCAGCGATCAGAAAAGCAGAAGAGGGTATCAGATGCCCTAGAGCTGGAGCCACTGATGCTTGTGAGCTGTACATGTGGGTGCTGGGAACTGAACTTGGGCCTCCACAAGAGCAGTCCTGGCTCTTAACTGCTGAACTGTGTCTCTAGCCCTGGGGATGATTTTTTACCTGGAACCCCATAAACACTTGTTATTTATAGTCATTTGATCTAGCAAGCATTTATTGTGTGTAGATATAAGTCAGGCACTGTAGTACAGTTTAAGAAGACTCAGTTGCCGGGTGGTGATGGTGCCTGCCTTTAAACCCAGCACTCGGGAGGCAGAGGCAGGCAGATCTCTGTGAGGTCGAGGCTAGTCTGGTCCTCAAGAGCTAGTTCCAGGACAGGCTCCAAAGCTACAGAGAAACCCTGTCTCGAAAAAAACCAACAAAATAAAACCCAAAACCAAAGGTGTCATTTTGTGCTGTGAGAGGGAAGTTGTCCCTTCAGTGCAGTGACAGGCACCGGCATGAGGAGTTTCTCTGGAGTGGAGGTAGTGTAGTGTTAGCTTTTGAGAAATGACTTCTGGTCAAGGGAATGAGCATAATGCAAGGTAAATTGAACTTTAGTTTTTCTCATTTGATCATTTTAACTAAAACTTATAGACAGGAAGACACAGTATAATTACACAACTGGTATGAGACAGAGCCAGGTCTTGCCTTCTTCCTTTCCATGGCACTCTATGTAGGTACATATTGAAACAGCAGAGTAAGAGGAAAAAGAAGAATGTTGAAATGGACAGCAAGAAACTCCTCTAAAGGCACACAAGGCAAGGTCCTGTGGTGCAGGCCTGCTGCTTGACAGGCTGAGACAACAGAGTACTTGCACAGATTGCTTGAGGCTAGCCTGGGCGTTAGGGACCTCCCCCCTTTTAAAAAAAAAGACATGTTGGCCTGTAGAGATATTCCAGCAGTTAAGAGCTCAAGAGGCTCTTATAGAGGACCTGGGTTCAGTTCCCAGTACCTGCATGGTGGCTCACAACCATCTATAAAGGGATCTGATGCCCTTTTCTGGCCTACAGGCAGACATTCAGACAACATGCATACACATAAATAAAAACAAATATTTGTTAGCAGGCAGTGGTGGCACATGCACTTGGGAGACAGAGGCAGGTGGATCTTTGTGAGTTTGAAGTCAGCCTGGTCTACAGCCTGAGTCCCAGGATGGCCAAATCTACACAGGGAAACCCTGTCTCCACTCCCCTCTCACATAAAAAAGGAAAAAAAGAAGAAAAGAAACCGAACACCCTAACCCGAGCTTTCTAAGCAACACTTCAGATTTGGGATGTTTAAGTTAGTAATGCTCATCTAGTAAAGTCTGTGAACTGGCTCCAAAACTCAGAAAAATCCGGAACCGGAAACTACTTCTGGCCCCAAGCGTTTTGAATAAGGAATTCTCAACCCACCAATTTTCAGGTTCACCTACATCATCTCTGGGATGTGGTCCCAGAGGGTGAGTGAGTTTCTAGTGCGAGTAAAACCAAGTTTCTCAGCTGTTAGATAATTTATTGGAAGTCAGTGTCCCATGAAGTCTTACTGCTGCTTTTAGCCATTTGAGAGGTCAAGTGGAAGGGCTAGATTCTGAGAGCACGAATGCCAGGCAGTCAAGATCAGTTTCAGTTTCTATCCTGACTTGCCAGTTGACAACGACTTGGAGGGTCTGTGATTCATTCAGCAGTTCCAGGCAAAATATTAGGCCCTTGAGATGCCACTGGGAATAAAGCCAGGTCCCCACTTGGTGGTCATTGACATTCCAGTGGGGGAAAATGTGTGTAGATGAAGTACATTCTGTATATGCTGCCCCAGGGTGCCATGGAACTCACAGAGCTGTTTCACATCTGTCCCTGTGAGGGAAGGTGTGAGCATCACCCTGGTTTTATAGATGAGGGAACTAAGGCATGGAAAAGATAAATAACTTGGGGTGGGTGCAGCTCAGTGGTAGAGTTAGAACTTAGCATGAGTGAGGAACCAAAAAGTAAGCAAAAGAAAAAGAAGCCTCCTGAGTTTTATGCAATAGATATTTTGAGTGAAAGGCTTTCTACCAGCCTCTTCAGTCCTGTGCCAGGTTGCTTGTTCTTGCATGTGGACCTGATTGAAATGCTACAAAGAGGAGCTAGCTGTGTGCAGAGCTCCAGTGTGCTATCCCTGGCTAGGCACAATGAGGAGTGGAGGTGGTCTCTGCACTCAGGGCCCATCAGCTAATCTACTGCATCGGGAGTGTTTGTTTTGTTTTGTTTTTAGGGTGGGTGTATTTTGCTTGTTGACTCAACTGAAGACTTTGAAAACTGTTCCAGTTCAGTGGATTTACAAGATCTTAGAGATAGGTTATTCCAGCCTTATTATCAAGGCTGCAGCCAGAGTGTCAGAGAAGTCTGTTACATTTCCCACTGAAGGTCCCCTGACCTTGTGTTTACAGAAAGAAACCTTGTCTTAGAAGCACCGAAGTCTGGGAGATTACCAGAGAGAGGAGCATTTTAATTCTTGCCAGTCTAGTTCTCAGAGTGGCCAGTGCGTGATTTTTCTCATGTCACCAGGCTAAATTCTGAAGGGATGAGGAGACCTTGTGATACTTGGATTTGGTGCCTGTCTCACTGTAAACACCATCAGATTTGTCTTCCCTGGCCTTCTTCGTAATACCACAGAGTGATGTTCCTTCAATAAGTTCTGCGTACCATGTTCCCGTTGCCCTCACAGCCCTTTATAGTGGGTGGAGTTACACAGGGGAGCAATTAGAACTTATTGAGATGAGAAAATTGGCAGCCAGAAAAAGCACAGTTCTGTAGAAAGTGTCTTCTCAGAGAGGGGCTCACCTTCAGGATAGTTTCGCTGGGCAACACCTTTGAAGTTTGGGCAAATCACTTCCGGATCCTCGGATCTTTCCCTCTCTGGATGGTGAATACTGAAACTCAAGTCTTGCTGAAGTCTTTTCAGGAGCTGCTGTGCTTAGAGTTACACAGCAGGGTACTCTGTTGCTGTTTCTTTTCTCTGCACGCCAGGGCATGCCCTGCCTGTATCCTCTGTTCTTGCCTCAAGATTGAAAGGGGACAGAGAGTCACCCAGCAGAGTAAGAGAATTATGGTCAAGGAGTTCCCAGCCTAAGAGTTCAATTTATTTTTATTTAAATCCTCCTCTTTCACTAGGTGAAAATTGAAGAAATATTGGTCTGTTAGATACTTGTTTTTATTCATACCGTATTGTATAAAGAAATAATATGAAATATAAAAATTAAGAGAATAAATCCTAAACTGTCATTCAGAATTTCTTAACTCTACTTGGCAGCAATCTGGGAAATGGATGTAAAATAGGAAGCATAAAATTTGAACTGAAAGTAGAAGGTAGTTTTAAAAAATTAAAGATGAGAAAATGGAGAGAAACCACTTAAAAAAAACAAACTTGAAATTTTGCAGAAAGGTGTTAGAGTCACTTCTAGGGTTACTGTGATTGCTTGTGAAATAAATTGACTGTTATACAGGTCCCCCTAAATGTGGGTGTACCCCACACTCCAACATGTTTTCATGACTGTGAGTCTGCTATTGGTACAGATAAGTTGGCTGAAGGCCCATAGCTTCAAAGAAACAACAGTGTTTAGCAATCTCCCCCACTGCCTTATTTTAAGGTACTGTGCTGTAAGTAAGTACTGCTTCAGCAGGGAATTAGTAGAAAATTATTTGAAAGAATATGTTTCTTTTGTAGCTCTTTTTAAAGATGAACTTTTTGTTTTATGTACATATTTTACCTGTATGTATATATGTGCATTACATGGGTTTAGTTCCATGGGGCCTGGAAGAGGGCATTGTATCCCCTGGAACTAGAGTTAAACACAGTTGTGAACTGCCATGTGGGTGCCAAGAACTGAACCCAGTCCTCTGAATTGCTGAGCCGTCTTCCCAGCCCTTGAAAACAGCAGCTCTTTGATAGGAACTTCAGTTGCTGACATCCAGGATGCTTAGTGGTGCAGCTTGAGTACTGAAACAG